GCCCTCTCTATTCTTTTCATTTTGCATTTGTGTTGGGCCTGATACCCATTAAATTAATGACATGTATATAACTGCTGACTAGCCATTCAGCAGTTGAAGTGACTGAATTCTAATTAGCCTACTAAGAGGTTTTAACCTCTACCTATGCATTCCTAGTATTTCCACAATTCAGCTTAAATTTCTCTTTACTATTTCAAAATCTAAAATATGTGTTCCTTCACATCACATGTTCATGTGTTTGTTTGTTTGTTTGTTTGACCCATCTAGTGGTCAGGCCACCAATCTGATTGGCTTACAATAACGTAATGTATATACGTACACACACACACAGAGAGAGAGAGAGAGAGAGAGAGAGAGAGAGAGATGTTTTCTAAAGCCAAGGAGGAAAGGGGGCAGTCATACCTCTATTGAGAGATAACTCCATAACAATGTGACCACCACTGAGAAGACCAATTTTTTGCATTGTTGGTTTCCAGGACCTCCCTCAGTATGAGGTGTGGGTGGGACAGGGGGTGATTCTGAGCAAGAGGTGCTCAGACAAGTTGTTGTTGTTGTTGTTTAGTCGTTAAGTCATGTCTGACTCTTTGTGACCCCATGGACCAGAGCACGCCAGGCCCTCCTATCTTCCACTGCCCCCTGGAGCTTGGTCCAATTCATGTTGGTCGCTTTGATGACCCTGTCCTCTGTCGTCCCCTTCTCCTCTTGCCCTCACACTTTCCCAACATCAGGGTCTTTTCCAGGGAGTCTTCTCTTCACATGAAATGGCCAAAGTACTGGCTCAGACAAGTAGCCATGCCCTAAACTGTTTAAATGTCAACATAGGTACCTTGAACTTGGCCCAGCAGCTAGTGCAAACATGCCAGGACAAGTATATATGATCATATTTTGATGTTCCAGACATCAACATGGCTGTTGTGTTTTACACTTGCTGCAGCTTCTGAAACATCATCAAGGCCAGCCCCAAATACACAATACTGAAATAGTCTATCCTTGAGATTACTGTGTTGAACTAGTGTTGTTAGGACTTCCTGTTGAGGTAAAAAAAAAGCGTGCTGCTTATATACCACCCCATAGTGCTTCAAGCACTCTCTGGGCGGTTTACAATTTAATTATGCAGGCTACACATTGCCCCTCCCCCAGCGAGCTGGGTACTCATTTTACCGACCTCGGAAGGATAGAAGGCTGAGTCAACCTTGAGCCGGCTACCTGGGATTTGAACCCCAGGTCGTGAGCACAGTTTTAGCTGCAGTACAGTGGTGTAACCACTACGCCACGAGGCGCAGTGAAGGTTTGCAATCTGTCTAAGTCAAAGAAAGGCAGACCTGGACACAATCAAGATCTGATTCTCCAGTGAGAGTGCTGGGTCCAGGAGCACACCCAAATTGCAAACCCAGTCCTTCAAGGGGTGTGTGACCCCCATCTAGACCAGAGAGACAGCCTCCTAGTCAATCAGGGGTCCTTCCCGGAAACAGGATCTCCATCTTATTATGATGCAGTTTCAATCTGTCAGCCTTCCAGTCCAGAACCTCAGCGAGGTACTTATCCAAGGTCTGCACAGCTTCTACTGCTGAAGATCTGGAAAGAGATAGATTGCATATCATCAGCATATTGATGATAGCAGACCTCAAATCTCCAGATGATTGTCCCCAGTGATCTCATATTGATGTACCAAAGTGGGGAGATGATCAATCTCTGTGGGACACAGCAATGCAGTACCCACAGGGACAAAACAGCCTTCTCCAGTTAAACGCTCTGGTTCCTGTCATTGAGGAAGGAGCAAAGCCAGCATAATGATGTGCTTCTAATCTTCAGCACTGAAATCTGGTTGACGAGGATACCATGGTTGATGGTATCAAAAGCCACTGAGAGATCCAGAAGGACCAACAGAGTTACACTCCCCCATTCAACCTTCTGAATATCATCAAGAAGAACAACTAAAACGGTCTCAGTCCTATGGTGTGGTCTGAACCCCAACTGAAATAAATACTTTCAGTATCTTCCAAGAATGCCTGCAACTGATTAGCCACCACCCTCTCAATCCTTTTCATCTTAAATGGTATGTTGATGACTGGACATTATTAATAAGTAAAATGACTGCTCCTCTTTCTGACATCGTCTCTAATTTCTATCAACTTTTGTTCTGTTATACAATTTTTATTTTCTTCCCACAAAAATTGTGTGCCCTTTTTTGTGTTTATATAAGTCCTGTTGACTGAGAGAGTAAACAATTTTTAAAGCTGAAGTTTACTGTTCAGTTCTTATCCATTAGTTCTTCCAGCTCTGATCATTATCTCTGATCATTGGCATGCTTTTCAACCCAAAGAAAAGTCTCAGTAACTCAATATGTGGTCTTCCATGGCATGGTATCAAGGACACAAGCCATCTCCACCTTCTCACCTCCTTCTCATCTCTCCTGAGATGAACTTCAGAAAGATCTGTTTTTGACTCACACTAGCTATGAAGACCATCCACATCTTTCTACCTTGGTGCCCGATTCCGACACAGGTAAGCCACCAGTTCAGCTGTACATGGACTACTTCTTGAAAATGTTGGATGTTAGAGCAAATTCTTAAGCCGTGTACTCTTTCAGCCTCCCCCCATCCCATCATTTTACGGGGTGCTGTATGTGCTGTTATTAGGAAATTGTGGAAACTGTCTCTTCTGCATAGTTCATTAATTGATTCATTCATTTTTAACAATCAACCCCTTCTTGGGGTTCTCTGAAGCTCCAGATATTGCTTTGGAACTTTGGAGAAATCAGATTTTTTTAAAAAAAACCAATTTTTTTTAATAACACTCAGAAAATGAGAATAGCATTGTGTCAGAGAATAGGAAGCCTAAAGTGGAAGGAGAGTGACAGCTTAAGTGCCAATAAAAAGCCAAAAACTTTCCTGTGGGCACGTCATCCACCTATCCACACGAGTGGATTTGTACAGTTCGCCTAACAAAGGACGGTGGCTTTATGACAAAGTGGATAAAAGGTACGATTGGAGTTGTCCTGCCCTAGGTGCAAACATGTTTCTCAAATAGAGACTCACATGATGAAACAATGAAGAACTTTGGACTGCAATCCACTCAGCTAATGCCTAATCGAAATAGTTGGTCTTGATACTTAGTGTGGTGCAGTGGATAGAGTGGAAGACTAGGACTTTAGGAGGCCTGGGTTCGAATTCCCTGCTCAGCCATGGAAACTCGCTGGGAGAGTGAAACTAGCAAAACCATTCCTTAAATATATCATTTACCTTTAAAGCTCTATTAGGGTTGCTGTAAGTCGCTTCTGACTTGACGGCACATAACATCAACACGGTAAGACAACCAGTATGGCATAGTGGGTTGAATTGCAAATTACAACTCAGGGGACTGAGGTTCAATTACTTGATTAGTCATGGAACCCATTGGGTAAAACCACTCCATAAGAAGAGAGGTATCTCACATACCTTGAAGGTTGCTGTAAGTGAGATGCAACTGTTGGCTAATAACAGCAGCCCTTGTGAGTCTATGAGCACATTGTTTGGCTGCAAGAAACTAGTATGGCTACTCTCCGGTACTTTCATGCAGTTTGCCTTTGGAGTGGAGACAGAGTAACATGTTTTTGGCATGCAAAGCCACAAATTTTAAAAGCAGAAGGCCTTGAGTTTCACGCACTCTGGTCTGCTATAATTATGTGCTTGTTGTCAGTGCATTTCCTGCAATTATTCAGAATAGATCAAAAATAATTTGTTTCTGGGGAGAAGAAGTAGCAGAAGGAGCAAAATAGGGATACCAGCAAGCAACAAAACAGGGGCCTTTTAGTGGACTGTCAGCATAGCAAAGGTAAAAGTAAAGGCCCCCCTTGACATTTATTCCAGTCGTGTCAGATTCTAGGGCGTGGTGCTCATCTCTGTTTCCAAGCCATAGAGCCAGCGTTTATCTGTAGACAATCTTCTGTGGTCACGTGGCCAGCGCGACTAGACATGGAACACTGTTACCTTCCCATCGAGGTGGTACCTATTTATCTACTCACATTTACATGCTTTTGAACTGCTAGGTTGGCAGGAGCTGGGACAAGTGACGGGAGCTCACTCCATTAAGTGGATTCAATCTTACAATGGCTGGTCTTCTGACCTTGCAACACAGAGGCTTCTGGTTTAACCCGCAGTGCCACCACATCCCTAGCATAATAGCTGGACAAAAAAAAAAGAAGTCAGTGGGTTTCAAGTCATGGTGTGGTGTCAGCCTTGTGATCTCAAATGTTGTCCCAGAAGTTCTTTCCAACATGTCCAGTCAGCCAATACACATTGATAGTGAAGTTTATAGTAGGGTGGAGGGTTGAGACCAGCACCAGGTTTAACAGAAGAGCACGGACACTGTCACCAGACTAAAGCATGCCCAGCAGCCAAGAATGACACAACCAGAAGAAGACCATCCATGAAAAAGAAGTGCACCAAGTGGACTGACCACAAGAGGATATTCAGAGAGCTTCCAGGGTAGCTTGGTCCACTAAGAAAGTCATACTGATACTTTTTAGGCGCGGAGATCAATGGCATCCACTGAGAGCATCCATGTTAGATGCATGTTGTGTGAATACATTTCCATTGCTTAAACCAGAAGCTGAGGAAATGAGAAAGCTGCGGTCCAGTACGAAGGAAGACAAGGCATGAATGAAACGTGAGACTGAGCATTCATCCAGCATTTGCCAGGTCAGCTTCACAGTTTATATTGGTGATGTTGGAGGAGGCTCTTGAGAGTCCCCTGGACTACAAGGAGAACAAACCTATCCATTTAGAAGGAAATCAACCCTGAGTGCTCACTGGAAGGAAAGATCCTGAAGCCATCTAATAAGAAGAGAAGACTCCCTGGAAAAGACCCTGATGTTGGGAAAGTGTGAAGGCAAGAGGAATAGGGGACAACAGAGATGGATGGACAGTGGCATTGAAGCTACCAACATGAATTCGACCAAATTCCAGGATACAGTGGAAGACAGGAGGGCCTGGCGAGCTCTGGTCCATGGGGTCACAAAGAGTCAGACATGACTTAACAAGTAAACAACAACAAATATCTTTAAAAGCTCATAAAAAAGACTTCTATTCACTTCAACGATCAAGGTGGGGAATACACAATGTAAGGCTGAGGAGCCATACCTAAAATATCGATACTTTTTCCAGAAGAAAGTTTCTCCTCCCAGATGACTCATCATGCAGCAACTGGTTACCAAAGCAAACAGAACAAATCCCCTTTTTTGCTAATATAAAACCATTACATTTCTTTTTACTTCTGCTCTGTTTACCTAGGAACCTGTACGCTTTGCTCAAAACAGATTGGAGTACCGGTTAGGCTTCTGATTTTCAGAAATGGGAATCTGTCATTGCATTGCAGTCCAACAACATTTGGAGGGTCATACCTTTCTCCACCTTATAGCTTTTATCAGTGATTAATTTATTAGGTCAGCAGTTTCCATCTTGAGAATGGGTTTGAATCCAAATATAGGTACAATGTGTTGCTTAATTTTGGAACTTTTTAAAATCTCTTGTCCCCCTACATCTTGTTTTTTGTTTTTCTTTTCTTTTTTTTAATGAGCCAGGCAGTCTAAAGAAGAGTTCTGTAGCCCAAGGTGCTGAATTAATGCGATTTCGGCAGCTTTGCCTTCTCTTTTACGCTTCTGATAATTTCCCAACAGTATTCTTCGGTGAGGCTTCTTCACTCCGTTTTCAGCTTCATGCAGTTATCCTTGGTGAAACTTGAAGCAGAGGTTTCTTGGGAACTGAAAGAACAGCTTGTTTACATTTTCTTCTTTAAAAACAAGCCTGAATATGCAAATTGCTACGGCGGTGGCACCATGTTTTATGTCCTCCAGTTTAATATGCTGAAAAAAATCAGGGTGAAAATAGGGCAGCATCTGGGCCTCACCTGCAGATACTCAGCCACTGAGACAAGCTCTGCTTTAAGAAAGTTTTTAAAAAAGAGAGAGAGGAGGAGATAGAGGCAACAGCAACAGACTGAAACATTTTTGCCTCCCTAGACTTGAAAACAGCGTTCCGTGTCTAAATCACACTGGCCATGTGACCACGGAAGATTGGACAAACGCTGGCTCTATGGCTTGAAGAGCGGGATGAGTGCCGCCCCCTAGAGTCAGACACGACTGGACAAAAATTGTCAAGGGGAACCTTTACCTTTACCTTTACCTAGACTTGAAAAAAATCAAACTATTCTTCCTAGTTTGTCTGCTACAAATGTGTTGAGCAAATTCATTTGGCTGCTTAGTCTAAAACCTGAAGGAGAAAAGGACACTTCTAACACGCACATGCATGCATGCACGCAAACACACATACACACACACAGAGAGAGAGAGAGATGCAATCCGCATTCTATAATTTTAAGCATCACAAAATAAGTTACTATTTCATGCCGTGGTTCCCAATCTTGGGTCCCCAGATGTTCTTGGACTAAGCCTCCCAGAAGCCTTCACCACTAGCTGGGGTGGCCATGATATCTGGGAGTTGTAGTCCAAGCCGCCTAGAGTGGTCCTCACTGACCAGATAGGCGGGGTATAAATTAATTAAATAAATAAATAAAAACATCTGGGGACCCAAGGTTGGGAACCACTGATTTAGTGTGAAATGTCTCCCCCACTGTGAGCATAACTGTAAAAGTGTGTATAGCAATATTGATTATCTCATAATGTGACTGTAGTTGTAGTTAAAGAAATATCTCTTTTTAAAAATGAAGATTCTTCAACATGTTCATCTGTATTTAGTGGCAGAATTTGATAAAGCTGCCATCTTTAAGCAGGGCATCTGTATACTCTGTGCTGCCTCACAGTAACATACAGATTCTTAAGTTCATTGAGTTGGTAGGCATGCGGTAGCAGCTATATTTTAAACATATTTATGTCATTTTAGCAACAATAGTCTTGATTATTAGAGATGTGCACAGGCCCCACAAGCCAGTTCAACACAAGGGTTGACTGTGTTCATGCAGTCATGTTCATAGAGCAGGGAGTTACCCACATTGTTCCCATTATTTTTAGATAATGTGACCCAAGTGATTTCTTCTCCATTGAAATTGCTGATGCAAACAGATTATTGAGTACTTCCTTTCCTCCTAGTGCCTCATAAAGCCTCCACAATATACGCTTATTTCCAGTGAGGACAGTCTTCCTCCCTTTGACAGCTCAGCCATTAAAATAATCATAGCCTGCCTTGAGGGAATCCAGGCTGACCTTTGCAAAGATTGCAGCTGCAACTTCCCTACCTGAAATGACACCACAGCAGCCATCTTTGCAAAGGGAAGCCAGTTACCCTTTTTAAATGCCATGGCTACAAAGGCCTGATGGAGACCTCGGTAGCAGCTATTAAGGTAAGGGGGTGTTGGTGGGAGTGGGGTGGGGGCTAAGGTAGGGAAAGGAAGGGGTGCGGGGTAGGCTGTTGGGGTGGCTGGCTGTGTGGGGTTGCTGCCTATCAGGTTCTGATCAGCTGATCGGCTACCGGTAGGCAGAATGGGCTTCTGTCTCGTGTGGTAAACTGTCCTGGGGGGGACCCAATTTGTGGGTGAATAACTCAGATGTCCAATAGCCAGTCTTCACCAAAGTTGGCAGGCATGTTGAGGAAAGACGTAGGAAGCTCTGTTGTGATTCTGGAGTCTCTACTTGGGGGGAGTTTCCCTGGGAGGATTCTCTTTGTGACTATATAACTTGAGGGTCTGTTCTCCAATGTTCACCAAACTGTCAGGAGTTGTAGAAACACGTTGGAGGAAGATTCCCTGCAAATTTGGTGTCTCTAGGTCATTAGTGGCCAGTGTTATAGCCATTTAAATTGTAGATGAATCGGCAGATCAATTTGTTGATTCGTCAAAGAATATTCATATATTTGTATTCGTTGATCCATTAACCTTGATGAATAACGGATCAAAACGAATTTGCCATTTTTTTCATTTGTCCCCATCTCTAATTTATTTCTTTGGCTATAAAACAGCTCCCAGGGGATCTAGAAGCACCAAGTTTGCCAGGATACTTCCTCTGGCTCTCTTTAAGCCCTCCAAGGTTTGGTGAAGGTTGGGCCTCTGATGTCCAAGTTATACACCCACAAAAAGTGCCCCCTAGGAGAGTTCAACCCAGGCACCTAGAGACACCAAAATGGCAGAGAAGCTTCTCCTGATACAAGCCAGCTGTTAAGGGCAATTCCCTGGGGGGGGGACGCAATTTGCGGCTATATAATTTGGATGTCTGAAACCCAATCTTCACCAAAGTTGAAGGGATTGTAGAGGAGAATCAGTAGAAGCTTCTCTGTGATTTTGAAGCATTTCCAGGGGATCTAGAAGCACCAAGTTTGCCAGGATACTTCCTCTGGCTCTCTTTAAGCCCTCCAAGGTTTGGTGAAGGTTGGGCCTCTGATGTCCAAGTTATACACCCACAAAAAGTGCCCCCTAGGAGAGTTCAACCCAGGCACCTAGAGACACCAAAATGGCAGAGAAGCTTCTCCTGATACAAGCCAGCTGTTAAGGGCAATTCCCTGGGGGGGGGACGCAATTTGCGGCTATATAATTTGGATGTCTGAAACCCAATCTTCACCAAAGTTGAAGGGATTGTAGAGGAGAATCAGTAGAAGCTTCTCTGTGATTTTGAAGCATTTAGGTGCCTGGGGGAGGGGGTTACCTTCCTAGGGGACCATCCTGTGGGTGTATAACTCAGAAGTCCAAAATCCAGACTTAACCAAACTTGCAGAGCTTGTAGAAGTGAGTCAGAGAAGGCTTTTCAGAGAATTTGGTGTCATTAGGTCCCTTGGGAGCCATTTCATAAGGTTTTAAAATTAAAAAAGGAATAGACAAATCAATTCATGTGTTTGTGAGAAAACAATATAAATTCATAATTTGGGACTCATCATCCTTGAAGAATCACTAATCAAAACAAACCACACACCCATCTCTAAAACTACAAATTCAGTGTTTCTTCTCCACCCATACTGTTGTTCCAGATGGACCCAAACTTTTATACCTCCCAATGTTTTTTCATAATCTGTAAAGAAATCTAGAAGGGCAATTAAACTATAGAAAATTTGGAAAGCTTATTAGATACTGTAATGCAAACAATAAGATTTGATGAAAATATATTTTATGTTCCCCTTCTCCCCCCCTTTTTTAACCCTTGCACCCTTTACTCAATTCCCAATTTAAATAATAGAAAAAAGGAATTGTGGAATTTGTAGTCTTAAAAGGTAACTTTTTCAGGGCTCTCGGGTGGATGCCTTGGCATGTGTTTGTGAAATACATAGAGTTCAGCTTTGACTCTTTTGCGTCAATCAATCAGTCATGCAATGTTTTATTCCTGATTATAGTTATTTGTATGTTGAAAAAAAGGGGGGAAAAGACATAGCTGTAGACTTTGCAAAGTGCATAATTATGTAATGGACACAGAGAAAATATTGTTTTCAGTAAGTTGAACTTCCTCATGATTTGACATTCTCATTACTCTTGGTGTGTCTTATCTTAGGGATAAAGCATTCCCACCTGAGCATCTCCTGTCTGCCTTTTCCTTCAGCTATGGGTACTCGTTGCCTCTTCCTTTTTAGTCTTTTTGTGGTTCTTATTCCTGGTGCAGGTAAGTTCTTATCCAGACAAATTCATTCCTAGAAATGTTAACCCTTAGAATAAATTCTACCTACGATGGGAGTTACTTTGCTTGTTTATTTAATATTATTTATTTATTACGTACATATATTCGTATACCATCTGACTTCATGCAAAACACTGCTCAGGGGGGTTAACAACAAAAGTAAACACTATAACTGCCTCCAATTCCCAAACATAATCACACAGAATTTAATGTAAAGGCACAGACATGACAGAAAACAAGCAATAATGGCAGGAGGGTGAAATAAAACCCAATTCCAGTCATCTCAGAAGAGGATATCGCTAAATGATTCCCTAAACAGCTCAGTCTTCGGCAGCCTCTGGCAAGTAATTGAGAGCCTATTCCACAATGAAAGGGCCACAATGGAGAAGCTGGGTCATTAGGACAATTTCTGTGTACCATCGCTCAGAGTGGTATTTCTTTGTTCCTTTTTAGTATTGGCATGCTTATTATTTTAATGTTTTCGCGAAAGCTTTCACGGCTGGGATCCAAAGCTTGTTGTAGATTTTTCAGGCTGTTTGGTTGTGTTTTGGAGGTTTTTCTTCCAGACATTTCCCCAGTACTCATTGTTCTTAGCTTTAAATATTGACTTTTAATGATGTATGCCACTGCTGTATACTCCTTGTTTTCAGCTTTTAATATTGTCTTTCAGTGTTGTAAGCCACTTTGGATATTTTTAAGGAAAAAGGTGGGGTAAAATTATTTTGAATGAATGAATGAATGAATGAATGAATGAATGAATGAATGAATGAATGAATGAATGAATGAATGAATGAATGAATCAGGCACATTTAAAGTTTGATTCACACACACACACACACACACACAAAAGGGGTGGGGGGGGGAGAAAGGGAAAAAAACGGAAAAAGGAAAGGAAAGGGCTTAAGTTATTTTGTGATTCAGTTTGTGGTCTGGACACAAGCTGATTTGTAAATTTACGTCACTCTAACACTCAATCCAAACGTTCCGCTTTGACTCAGATGTCACACATTTAAAGTTTGATTCACACACACACACACACACACACAAAAGGGGTGGGGGGGGGAGAAAGGGAAAAAAACGGAAAAAGGAAAGGAAAGGGCTTAAGTTATTTTGTGATTCAGTTTGTGGTCTGGACACAAGCTGATTTGTAAATTTACGTCACTCTAACACTCAATCCAAACGTTCCGCTTTGACTCAGATGTCATACAAATCTGTGTGAATCCTTTTTGATTTGGCTTTCATGAATTCTCCATATCTCATATACAGCTCTAAGAATACTCTTTTTTTGCTGTCGTTACAAGAATATTCATGTTCTCTGAAGACTTCTAAGAAGCATCTTTGTCCTGCTGCAGCAGCAGTAAATTGTGCAGTGGGGTGAGGAATTTCAGGCCTGGGTGCCCAAACAGGCCCTCCCAGGGTCCCAATCCACCGTTCCCCAAATGACCATCTCCTCCTCATGATGCAGGCAAAAGCTGGTGATTTCTCAGTTCTGTTAAGAAGGGCTATTTCCCATTTTTAAAGCATGAAAATGGGTCTCCTTATAGAATATTCAGTGTGTGCTATCTGTGAGAAACCTATTCTTTTTATACTTGCTATTTTTTCCCCTGCGAACTTATGTACAATGACCATTAAATCAGATTAAATCAGAACCACAGAAAATATCAAACCAATATAAACACAAGAGAATTAACAGAACCTTGGGTGTTATGAGCTGCTGGAGAGCTTAATGGTTGAGGTCTCTGGCTGCAAAGCCAGAAGCTGGGAGTTTGCTTCCTTGACAGGGCTGAACCTGATGATTCACAGAGATCCCTCCAGCCCTCCAGTTGTAAGCTTATCATTGTTGCTATTATTGCTATTATTATTCTTATTTCCTAGATCTGGAATCTCTTAATGATGCCCTCAATAAAGCAGCGTGTCAGTATTATGACGGCATTTGCAAACCACAGGGCTGTGGTCCAAACTATGTGAATATCGGATGGTGTGCCCCTATGTACGCTTGCTGCTTGAAGTGAGTATGGCAGCCATGTCTCCACCCAGCTCAATAATACTTTTCATGCATGCTCACTTGTTTAATGTCGAAACTGAAACAAATGAGCTGAACACGGATCAGGGAAAGTATTGTGGCCAATAGGGTGTGGGTGCATTTATTTCTGTCCTAAGATTTGGCCATTAACGGTGACCCAATGGAACTGAGTTGTCCTAGCTCTTGCCAACCTAGCCGTTCGAAAGC